GTGGGGGCAGCGGAGGAGCGGCGGCGGCCGGTGCCGGGGCAGGGCGCGCTGCGGGGCGGGGGTGGGGGCGGAGGCGGAGGCGGCCGCGGCGGAAGCGGCGGCGGCGCCGCGCCTGGAAGGGGAAGAAGGGGGCGGGCCGGAGGCGCGCGGGCGGCGCGGGGCGAGCGGCGGCGGGCCCTGGGAGCGGCGGCTGCTCTCCGTCGTCGGCGTCGTCCTCGCTCTTCGGGTCCACTCCGGCAGCCTGCTCGGGCGCGCACCCGCCTCTCCCAGCCCAATCTTGGCGCCGGGGAGGGCGGACCGGGATTGTTGGGTCGGCCCGGCGGGTATTGTGACGGGGCAGGAGGGAAGAGGAAAAGCCGGCGGCGGCGGCGAGGCCTGGCCTGGGACGGTGCCCCGGTCGGCTCGGTGAAAGTGGGAGGACGGGGCCGAGCGGGAAGACGTGCACGGCGGGGAAGAGGAGAGCAGAGAGAAGGCGGATCGGGGACGGGACGCGAGGAGGGGAGAGGAGCCGGGCAGATGGCCGGGGCGGTGGGAAGGAGACCCTCCCGGGCTCTTCTCAAAGACAGCAGAGCTCCCAGGCAAGGCTGCGCATGGATCATGAAAAGGCACGGCAAAGACTGTTCAACAGTGTTTCTGAGCATGTACAGAAGTCAGCACTATCCGCGACAGTGCTGCGCATAGTTAGTGGGAAAGTGCAGTGGAGATGGAAGTCTCCTGTAAGTGTGTCTGAGCATGCACAGAAGGCAGCTCATGTTTTTCCAGTGGCAGGGCTAAGCATAGCTGGTGAGAAGGTGCAGAAATCCCAGAAGAATATCTCTGAGCAGGTCAGTCAAGGTTGTTAAAAAAAAGTGGCAGAACAGTGGCGCTTACCGATCAAGAGGGCTTGTAAAATGAATTGAACTCATTTGGGGAATTCTGGGAGTTGGAGGACTTTTTTTTTTTTTTGCCTAAGGAAGCATAGAATTATGTTTGGTGATTGAGAATATGGAACTTCCACGTTTGAACAATCAGTGGGGAAAAAAGCCAGGGCTATTCCTTTTCTCTGTCCTCATCCAGCTGTGGTTTTCTGTAGGATTCTGGGGTGGTTTTGAAGCCACCTTTTTCCTATGCACCTCACCAGGCTTGGATGGCAGGGGAAATCCCATGTCATGAGAGAAATTAGATATTACTCTGCACGCAACCAGCATGGTGAGGCAGGGGGTGGCAGGGAGAAGAACCCACCATAGCTTCTCCCCTTCTCCATGAATCATCATGCAGGCCTGAATGTGCATGCACAGGCATAATGGGTATTTGTGCCTTGGGGTGGGGAAGTAAAAGAGATGTGGGAAATCAAATTCTTCAGCCCTAAGAACACTTTCTTCAATTAAGCAAACATTCTGTATGAAAGGATGCCATGAAGAAATGTTGGCTTTACATTGCTAGATTGTATAATATGACATTGCTGCATCCCAGTCTATACTGTGTTCCAGAGTAGTGGCTTTCAAGACTTTGTTCTGGGGAGTGCTGGAGTTCCACAAAGTGTTGTCGATCTTCCATCTGGAGAGTGCATTGCGCTCCACATGAGGCATTGTTGAAGCTCAGCAAATTTGTTCAGGGCCCCTCATAAGTCCTTTCTTCAGATTTTATGGTGATTGCCGGCTGGAGTTAATGTGATTTTGTTTTTCACTGCTCGTGTTTTCATTTTTTCTCAGCAATGTGGGCTTTGATAGATTTTGCCTCTAGATTTTACCACTTTTAGAAATACTGCAATTTGAAAAGTGGCATATAAATCTTTAAAATAAATGAATTAAAAATTAACTGAATGGGTGTCTTATAATATGCCTGGGATCCTTGAATTAGGTTCAAGTTAGACATGGGTTTCCTTACTATGGAAAGTTGTGTGCAAACTATGGATTCAGTGTGACTTGCCACCTTCCAGATACGTCATAATAAATAAGGCCAGGGCCTGTGCTGACTGAGGCATACTAGAAATTGTAGGACTCCTGTCTAGATATACACAGGGTTATGCCTTAATATAAGTTAGCTTTTCAGGAGATGAGCTTTTCCAGGTTCTTGGTCAGGGGAAACTTGCTGTGTAGGAACTAGGTGGAGAAAATCCTTTGTGCTGACAGATGTCTCTGAAAAGTTTTCCTTTATTGCAATTTAACTGGCACATCTACCATTGTCTTTTTATGCCAGGCAAAATCTAATTTGCCTGGGTATTTGAAAGCATTTTCTGGCTTGTTTCCTGCAGTGTTTTTATCCTTTTGACTTTTTACTGTGTTATTTTATTCCTTGCATTGTGACATATTTTGGTTGTTAGGCCCCTGATATCTAAGTATGAAGTAATTCCCAGTCTTAATCAAACAGGCACTCTTGAGTAGGAGTGCAAATTGATGGGCAAAAGGTATTTCAGGGCTGTTCACATGGCACAGGTTGGTGACTGTTTGCTAGTGTTTTGCCCTGGTGCAGTATTTGTGTAATGGCTTTGCCACAGAATGTTTGTTTTATTACCGGCACTCACTAAAGGCTAATATCTGACCAGTTTTCTGAAGCCTTTTGATACCATGGCAGCCTGCACGGAACATCAGCCCTGGGGCATGATCACATAATCATTTCACACTGTCCCAAAAAACATAGTCTGTATTTCTTCCCACATTTGTGGCTGTGTGAATCAGCTGTCTAAGGATCCTTAAAGGATTCTTGAATATGAAATATGTTGACTTGAATGATTGGTGTGCTTAAACACAAACACAGGCAAGCTGCTAAAAAACGCTATGACAGATCATTAGGAAATAGGGTGTTTCCCCACTGGGTGAGGGAGGCAGCCTTAAAAATATAGGCGAAGCATTAATCCATTGCCAAAGGTCACCAATTGTAGTAGTAATTTTAGATTCATAGCAACTCTGGACAAGCAAGTTATCAAAGTGTGCAGGGCTGCTTTTAACACTTGGGCTAAATTGCGAAATCCGTTGGCTGTCTAGATGTTGTTTAGCAGCAGTAGGATTGTGCTTCCCATGTATGTATGAATTAAGAATACACAAATGCTGCAGATGAGAAAGCATGGCTGATGAATCCAAGATGGAAGGAACCAAGAAGAATATGGTGAGTTTCGTCACTTCTTGCTTCACCTTGTGTATGCATCGTGGAAGGGAGCTGGTATGCAAAAAGAGATATATACACGTTCAAGAACCATTTAGAAATGGTGGCAGCTTGATTCCCTTGGACAATTTAGGAGTTGCAAAACTGAGTAATTTCACAATTTTTAAGGTTGCATATTTTGGCACAACAAAACGTATTTCACCTAGATTTCAGGTTTGACTTGCTGGTCTATTTTTAAATATTGATGGTGAAGGAAGTACCTTTAACTTTCCCAGAAGAGAGATGTCTATCCAGTTTAGGTTTTACAAACCTTCTAGTGATATGTATTCCAATACCCCCCCTTGTTTACTTTAGTGGGGTCAGGGGAGAAATAGTTTATTCAAGACCAAACTTCTCTCCTTTTTGCATCAGCAGATCTTTACAGAGAAATCCCAATATGTGGTCAACAATATCTGGAAATATTTGCAAAGATCTATTTTAATCAAGCCTTCCTATTTTTTTTCTTACGAGAAAAAAATGAACATCATGCATGCTTCCAGAGAAGCAGCTAGTGCTAACCATCCAAAGGTAATCTGTCTTTTCTTCTTTAAAATAGCTTTTGCTCATAAAAAAGCAGAAGAATCCATGGGAAGGCACCTCCTCCTCTAGGCTCTGAATGTGGCAATGGGATTGCACAATAAAACCTTCATTTGGAAGCACCCTATGCAATATAAAACACCATGGCATGCACATTGCCCAGACTGTTTGTTTCCTGAATGCCTGGAGCTCTGTAAATATGCCCTTGAGTCATCCTGATTGACACAAACCACTTGAGAAAGCTTTAACCCCATTGACATCAGTGAGAGAGTGGCTTGACTCCAAGGGCTTCTACACTGGTCAACAGTGGGTTGTGATGGAGTTTAGCCATTGCTATGTGACTAGATTTTGATGCAAAATCAGATGTTAATGTTCTTGCTCCAGGAAAGTATGGCACCAAA